AGAGAAGAGGGGAGGGGGATGTTGCACAACAACAACCCTAAACTAAAAACCCTGTAACATACATTTACAAGGCCTTGTACTGGGTTAAGCAATGTATCAACTCACCCAAATGCCAAGTAAGTGAGGAGAGTTACGGACAGGAAGATGGCAGAAAGTCCACAACCTATATATGTGATGAAGGTGAGGATGGTGGCCTGAGCACGACTGGTAACAGTCTCTCTGGAAATGTCCTTAAAGTAAAATCAATCAAATAGAAGACATCAGAATGACATGTCTGCTATTGTTATTAGACACACAGAGGTGTGAAATCTGCAACAGGTAATTGTGCTTACCAGTAAAATAGCAAAGCTGGTTAAATGGTTGCAGCCACAAACTGTCTCATTGTCGTTGGTTTCTTTGACAAAGCAGCCATCTGAGTTCCAGCCACCTGCACCTTCTGCAGGAACAACAGTTTCAAAAATGCAGCATAACCTCAGTTTTTAAGCATGTGTGTTTATATTTTTAACTTACTGTTATATGTAAAGTCCCAGTAAACACACACTGCCACAAAATTAGCCTGTAGTTTGGAAAAAGAAGCAAGGTTTCAGTTTCCAAAATAAGTATTGTTTAGCTTAAGTCTGGGAAAAAAAAGTATTCAGCAGCTTTTCATTCAAATATCCACCTGATCTCCTTTCAAAGTTTGTTGCTAATGAGCCTGTGAAAAATATCGAGCATTTCCTGTTAGAATTAGACTTACTGGAACAGGTTCCGTGTTTCTCAGGCGAATTACAACACTTTCCTGTAATCCTTTGATTGACAGATTGGCCACGCTTGCTCCCAAGATCCCACTGTTAAGTTTGCGTTGTCCTAATGAGTCATCCTGTGTTTTCATGCAGAGACGCATCAAATCGTTAGTTTGTGGGACAAATTCTGCTGCACATTTTGTCTATTATTTGCCAGCAATTTATTTTTTATTTTATTTGATATCAATGACACAGGTTGACTGTATAGACCTTAAAGACTGAGCTCTTCTGGTAGAAATTGAACTGGAGCCTGGAGACCAGCTTTTGTTCCTCAGCGGTTAGATTTTGAGTGAGTGAAGGAGGAAGAGTAATGGAGCCCTGAGGGATGGAGGAGTCCTTTAATGCGCTCCTTTTCAACCTTGGATTCCCCCGAACCTGCAGCACATAGGGGAACATACAGGGTGGAGAATAGATCTTTCTCAAGAATATATTTTTCACAATACAACAAAGCTATAATTTCACCAACAGAACCTAAAACGTGTAAATGTGTGAAAAGTCTTACAGAAGAGAATATAATTCAGTGCTTGGCAAAAGTGTGCTACACCAGAGTTATTATTTATGTTTTTTCTCAAGCTTTTAAGGAAAAATATGCCTTTACTTGAGGGACCACAGTCTCACCTGTACATTAGTTGGATCTAAGATGGAAAAAACTGTCTCCTGAAAGTTGGCGCCATCTGCTGGTTTCACAGAGACAGCCAAAGAAGGGTACAGCAGATTCTCAGCGGTGTTTCCAATCACCAACTTTAATCCCACCGTGTCAACAATCCCAATAATCCTGTTGGAACAAAGGAACTGGTTAGTGTCATGCAGAATGATTGATCTATTTAACTATTAACATTTTACAAATAAAAAAGGTATGATCATATGGGAAAAGTTGAATAAGTGAGAGTAACCTGTCAGAGGAGCTCGACAGCTTGTCGGGTGAAGCGTCCAACAGATTGCTAACGATGTTGACGGAGACGTCTCCCAGCTCCTTGCTGACAGTCGGGCCTGCCAGAAGCTTCTCCAGCTGTGACACCAGCTGATCTATCTGCTCTGCGGTCAGTTTTGACACGTCTTGAGCCAGTGCAAGAAGGTCTTTGGCTTGGCTTTCAGCTGCAGTGAACAAAATAGAAGAGAGGTTATGTTCTGAAAAATGATCACTGTTATCTTCCCAGAAACCAAAGAAGCAAACACAGAAAGAACATATGTTAATTAGTTATTAGTTGAAAGACTATTTTTGTCTGAGCAATCTAGATGTTGCAAAAACCAAATAATTCTAATCATTATACACATTACACCGTCACCTACAGTGCAACACGGTGGTGGCACCCTTATGTAGTGGGATTTTTTTTTTATTAGCAAGATCTTTTGACATTTATCAGAAATGAAAATACATTTTGAAAAGGACCAGAAAAGCACAAAACAATGACCACTCTGAAGATGTTAAAGTTTGCATATTTAGACTGGTTGAGTCAAAGCCCAAATGCAAGTTAAAATAAAAGTTAATGCTACAACATGAGCTGGAAAAAAAATTATGTGGCAACAAACCTGTTCCATTTCCTGTTGAACTCACTGAGGTGGTCACAGAAACAAATCCACTTGTTGTGCTTCTAGTTGTGTTTGATGACGGTTTCCCTCCAGCAGCAGTTGTGGGCACTGATGGGGCCCGTGTTGTGTTCTGTTGTGTGTTTGGGGTTGTTGTTGGAGTCAATGTGTTGTTGTTGTTGTTTGGTTGTACTGTTGGTTTCACTGTTGTCACATTCGTAATGATTGTCACATTTGGGCCAATTGTCGAGTTTATAGGAATTGTGGCATTTTGGCTAAGTGTCACATTTGGGCTAGCTGTTGTATTTAGGCTAGTAACATTTGGGCTAGCTGTTGTATTTAAGCTAGTAACATTTGGGCTAGCTGTCGTATTTAAGCTAGTAACATTTGGGCTAGCTGTTGTATTTAGGCTAGTCACGTTGGGACTAATTGTCACATTTGGGCTAGTTGTGGTAGATGCAACACATTGCTCTTTCAAATGTACAACAACATTTTCTCCAGTTTGGCTGCAATGAAAAAGAAGTAAATCACTGTATTATTTGAAAGCATAGTTTCCATGGGATATGTTTCAGAAACAACCATGCAAAGATAACAGTAATACTGAGCTGGTAATTTTGTAAAACTTTACTTGTAGCCTAAAGTGAGATCATACGAACCATGTGAGGAGGTTAGATTCCTCTATTTCGGCACAAAAGTCATCTGGGCTTATTTCACTATCAGTATAATTGAACTGGAAGTTGAGTGAGTTGGCATTAACTTCTGCGCTTCCACAAATTGCTGCAACACAAAGCAACAGCTACATTAAATACACAGGTTATTTTTAACCTGAGTAAAACTGTAGTGAATAGATTGAGATACTTACCTGCTCGTCTCACTTGCCCGTCATACTGGATCTTTTCTTCAAGCAGAAACACATTTAAAACAGCTTCTGCCACTGAACAAATTGAGACTTCCCGTGCAAAACCTAATATCACTCTGCAACTCAGCCTTCAATAAAAAAATTAAAAAAAAGAATAAAACAGTTTTTAAAAGGTTTCCAACACATGAGCATACAGGTGACTCTAAGAAAATTAGTATATCACTGAAAAGCTAAGTTACTTCAGTAATTCAATTCATTTGCACAAATGTTGACTTTCTGTTAAATATTTCCCAATTCTTTGCTAGAGCCTTCTTTTACACAGATTACTGCAATAAATTAGAATATGTGTTCAGATGAGGCTCATTTGTGAGCCGGAAAAACAAAACAAACTTTAGGCAGGTATTAAACATAACTTATATAATACCCACACTTTTGTATTGAAAATGTTTTTATTGGTCTGATGTAATATTCTAACCCTAAATATCATCTTTTTCTCAAAAATAAAGGCTTGAAAACATCTGTCTATGAGTAATTAATCTATAAAATCTGCTTTATTTTGTGCTTTGCTGAGTGACCTAAATTTAGAGTTTAAGTTAAGTGATTTGCAGGCCAATCAACACATTTATATTAGTGTCATCAAATCAACTATATTTTGCAGTGTGGGTATAAAATGAAGGTATGTTAATAAAGCTTAGACTTACTTTGTTCCACTCATTTCACAGTCCACACTGGCACTCTGAAATTGTACAACGCGATATAAATAAACATGCACAAAATTTTAAATTATACATGTGATCTATTCATTTTGCATTGTTGGATACTTTTAAGTATTTATTATTCTGTGATACTTGTTGATTGTTATATTTTAGTTTCTTAAAATTATACCTGATAAATTTAGCACAACCTAACACTTTAATGATGCTTATACAATTGTTTAGTTAGGAGAAATTCAGAACTTGACTTTTTGGTAGTATTATTGAGCTTTGACTTCTACTTACCCTGTATTCAGACGCAACCATGGCCAAGGATTGACATGTAACACTGCAACAAAACATTAAAAACATAACTTCAAATGTCAGTCAGCATGACTATGTTTTTCTGTTTTTGATTTTTATTGTTCTAAATAAATAAATAGATAATTTTGTCTTTGCAAACTGAAATTTGAAATTTATTTGAAATTTGAAATTTATTTCGAACATGATACAAATATAAAAAGTAATATAGTACACAATAAGAAAAGTGAATAGAAAAGAAGAAAAGGAAAAAAAATACAGATATCTGTTTCAGTTAACATATCATGCTCAAACTGAAAATAAAACTTACAGAAAAAGTATTGTTACAAATCAAAAAGCAAAACATACTTTGTACTGATGGAGCAGTTTGGTCGTTGTGCCAGAGTTGAAATCTGTAAAATAAGTAAATATTATCGTCCGATACATCAAGAGTGTGTCGCAAGAGTGATTAATAAAAAAGGAGGTTACCAGAGATGAAAGAGATGAAGAGTTCATTGTTGGGTCTTGTAGTGAAATGGAAAAAGTGTAGAACGCATCTGAAAACAAAAACACAAATTACATCGTAAATTTTGTATTGATTTTGATAACGATGAGAGGCATTAATTTGACTGATGAAATACTAACCAGATCTGTTGCAGTAGGAAGAGCAGCTACAACTGTTCTCTAAAAATGAAAGAAGAAAAAAATACATAAAAATCTAAATACTCTATGCATTTTAAATATATTTTAAATAAATACCTCACCTGTCACACAGTCTTTTAAGTTTATTGGTGGAATGACATATGCAGGCCCAGACTCCACACTGATAAAAGACAAACATCACATTTTGTTAAATTTGTTCATTTAACTTTATATCCTTATACCAGCTCTTTGCATATTTTAGAAATAAAAATATTCCACCACTGCATGACACAGAAAGAACATTTTGGCTTTTTAATGACATTTCTTCATTTCTTCTTCTTTTATTCAATGAGTCAAAGGTTTGCACATTGAAAAGAGATATTTTAGGTTCAGGACATCTGTAAAGATGATTCATCTGTTAATCTCAAATGCAGGAAAACAACAGGATGTTAATTTAGATTCAACGCTGAAATCTGTAAAAGTGTCAGAGGACCTGAGGGTCTTTCTTTCCACATCAGTGTAGGAAAGTATGAGCCTGTTACTGGTATCAATATCAAGCACATACATTTATGCTTGATATTCCAGAAAAATCAAAATGTTCTTTTTTTAAAGACATTTTCTGAATTATCAAGCCCAGTGAAGTCTTTGAAGTATGTGTGTCGATTTTGATGAATTTCCACTTAATTGTGCATGATTGTCGTGATCAGTTGCGTGGAATTGTTCTCCAGCAGGACTGCAACACATTGCTGTCGTAAACATGCTTAGCAGATACCAAACCCTTACCATGACGCGCCCAGCGGACCAGAATATATGCAGCTGTTTGGCTCCTCTAAGTTACCGCCGCACTCGTTTTGAAGCCGATCTGTTCAGAAAGATCAAGACTTTGTTACAAATGAGAAGCTTCTGAGGTTGGCAAAAAGTCCGACGTATTACTCACTCTGTTCGTCTATCCTGTTTCCCACCACATGGATGTCGGAGGAACGTTTGCTGGCTGCACAGAGCGTTTGGAGGATGCAGCATGATGGTATTTTGTGACTCAGCCCAAGCATGATGGTGCACTTGGTATGACTGAAACATATCATCAGTTTTATCGAAAACAAGAATGGACATATGCATGTGTCAAATATGAGAGCTATGTTATTATTTCACTTACCTTATAGCAGTTTTTGTAGAGCAGGACACTTCCATTCCCTGTTAAAACACAAACCGGACCATGTTATTCAATACTTCTACTCACCGTAAGACCTATTGCTGCATGTGATTATTAACTTACTTGAAAAACCAAAGCCGTGTCATTGCTAAAAAAGAAAAGGAATAATAATATCAACACTGTAACAAAAGAGATGTAAGAATAATGCAAAAAAATGCTGCCTAATTCAGCTGACAGTTATTTTGGAGAACATGTCACTTTGAATTACAGCCATTTTTTTTTTTTTTTACAATTCATTACAAATGAAACATATACTGTTCTATGAATGCTAGAATATTAATAGATTATTTTCCCCAATCACTTAAGTTCATTTTTTATACCTGCTTTGCGTCAAACTGTCGCTGTTCTGGGGGACAGCACGCTTCCTCCTTGCCAGTCCTGAAGGCGAGGCTTGAGGATTCAGACTTAGAATAGTTGACTGCGTTAACTCAGGCAATAAAGTTGACAGGCTGGTGATCAAATGTGACAAGATGGGACTTGGTGTAGTTGTGGCTGGACTGTTGCTTTGTGACGCTGTAGTTGTTGTCACTGTGGTTGGAGTGTTGCTTCTTAGAGCTGGAGTTGTTGGAGTTGTCGGAGTTGTCGGACCGTTGCTTCTTAGTGCTGGAGTTGTTGGAGTTGTTGGAGTTGTCGGACCGTTGCTTCTTAGCGCTGGAGTTGTTGGAGTTGTTGGACCGTTGCTTCTTAGCGCTGGAGTTGTTGGAGTTGTTGGAC